TTCCTGCTTGTGCTACAAAGCATGCCTGGTGTTTCACTGCATTACAAATTTGCAATAAAGCATTCACATAGCCGAACTTGTTATGTAGATGAGACAATAGGCTAACAATTCTTGTTTATAACTTGATTTTGTAAACTGTCTGGCAACATACCTTTAATCATTTGGGTACTAATGCTGCAGTTCCAAATGACATGTCAGAAAAACATTACACTAGAATAGCAGTGTAAAAACCTCTTAAAATTCTGATACCTGCCTGCTGCCAAACATAGTAACCTACCTTTCTGTCTATCTGACCTGAAACCACAGATGCATTTCACCTAATTAGCCACTCATTGTAAAATGTAAAATAATTTAAATGATTTTGTCAATGAGCTCTTCAGATAAAAATAATTTCTGTTAATGCATTCTGTGCAATCTGTGTTCAGCACAGTAGAATCTTACCTGGAGGCTTTACAGGGATGCTACTAGAAACTTCAAAAAGAGCGTCACTAATGATTATAATTCTATAGCAAATGAAAGCGTGAGCATTCCCCATGTACTATGAATGCATCTTGTAAACCTTATATTAAAAATAAAAAAGTACAGTACAGCCAAACATAATTCCTACCTTAACAACTTGTTTGATACCATCAATGGTAACATTCATGAAAGATTTCAGCATGTCAGCATCATTCAGATAATCTGCATACCTCACACACATAAATAGGATGTGAGCTGGAAGGCCAGGTATCATATTAACTACAACTCCACGTGGCTTTAAATCTGCATAAAGGAGAGTCAGCAGGTTTATTATATAAAAATTCAACAATTCAATGTATCATTCTGAAAAAGAAAAGCACTATGGGGTTTATTTCTTCAGTGACCAATCACTTGATAATTCATTTACTTATTAATTAATGAATTACTGAAAACTTCTGTGACAGTATTGTTCATATAAGAGTATTAATTAAGTTTTCCAGGGTAACAGGAGAGTACTGTAGCAAATTCTAAGGTTCAGCACAGGCTACGCCAGACAGGACAGCTTCAAAAACTGATTTCCATTTAACTACCCACTGGAGGTCCCACTTAATGATACGCGTTTTTTCACAAAGACATAAACATTCACAAGGCTGAAGTAGGTGAAAAGGAAGATGATGTTTCCAAGCAGTAGTTTACAAGGGCACTAATGTACATAGAAAATTTGAGTTTAACATTAATTGTAAGCTCATGCAAAAAGCTGATTTGGCAGTAAGATTGATGCTGTGAAGTAAGTCAGAGGAAGGACAAAATTCCTCTACAAGAGAAATACGAAAGTAGAGTTCCCTTCAGTATAGAGAATGATATGGAAAGGACAGACAGGAAAGTAATCCTTCACACATGGATATAAGCCCAGTGACTTACAGACTTAGTAGATGACCAGGAAGAAAGCAAATTCGAGTCCCTGGAATGCTCTTGAGATTTAGAGCTTTGTAAGTGAATAAATAATAAGAAAGGTAATAGAGTCAGCATTACGTAGGGTCAGCCAAATTATTTTTATGCAGATAAAGCACTTCTGTATTTGAAATGACTGGCAGTAGAAAAAGAGCAATATACAGCCTCCAAGCCGTACTGGTGGCAAGAGGAGAAAAAAAGGCAACTTTGAACATAAGTGAAATACGGCGCCTTGTAGGTTTTGTTGTAGTGTTCTACACTGAATATCATTGACTACTGATAAAATTTGAAGTGTTACTAAAATACCGAGGATCAGGTTTCGAATGATCCTTTCTTCATCCTCTTTTTTATACTCCATCATTCCAATGTACTCCTTGGACAAAGTTGGCACACGAGTTTCAGCTGTCAAACACAAAAGCACTGTTACCTGCAAGTAAACAGCTAAGCTAATGTTCATGTTAGAACAAACTACTGGGGAAAAGCAGTTTTCTCTGTAATAAACCGAGTATGGGCCCTGCTCACAGTAACATTCTTAGCTTATGGTTCCAAGCATTACGAGTTAAATAACATTAATAATATAAATGTGGTTAGTTTCACTGGATTCAGTGGAATTACTTGCACCAATAAGACAAATAATGCAAACAATACAGCTCTACATTAGTCACCTCTGCAAAGTTTTGAAGTGTATTTTAAAACGAAGAATTATTTGCTGTAGAAGAGTTTTGTACAAGCTAATTGCAAATCAGGAACCATCTGCCATTTGAAGCTAATGGGAGGAGCTACTCATCTGCTGAAGGAACATTCTGTTGGCTCAGAGAAAGTTTGTGTGAGAGTATGTATTAACCTTTGTTGACAGAGCCTGATGCCTCTTGCTTAATCTTTTATCATATAGTCTAGGTCCCACATGTGCCCATTATTTAGCTGGGAAAAAGTACAGGAAAGGGCTTTTATAAAATTTCTGTTGATGGCTCCCTGGCTCTTTTTTCTGAGGCTTTAAAACTTCTAACCCCACCACAAACCTTACCTTTTTTTCTTTTTTAAAATATACTTTCTTTCAAACACACACTGAACACACAAATCTGTATAAAAAAAAAAATCATATAATATCTTACTTTTTTCAATAGGCTTGGTAAGAGTTTTGATCTGATCTTCCAATTTTTTTATTATTCTATCTTTCATGTCTAGCTTTTCTTCAAGATCCTGTAATAATCAAAGTCAGTAAGTTCAGAGCAACCACAACTGAAAAATGTCTTCTACTACTACGTATTATTGCCATGAGTAAAAAGCGCTACGATGTGCTTTTACTTATATTTGCTGGAAGAAACATGAAACCTTCGTATCTTTTTCCTCTCCAAATGAATTGAGAGGACATCCTGCTCATACCATGAAACCATGACCTCTTTCTTTTTATTCTGCATTTCAGGTACAGTTTCTTAATGACAGTTTCATTTCCTCACCATGTTTTCCACAGTAAGTCGAGTTGTTTCTTGCTTCATCTTGCTTTTTACTTCATCCTGGATTTCATCTTGCATCAAACCATTCCCCAGCCCCTCAATTTCTTGGGTTGTGACTTTCATTCTGTCTTCTTCTTTTATGCCTGTTTCATTCTGTGCCTCATTTATTCTAAGAATAGATAGATAGGAAACTTTGTCTCTTACTCTTCTCTCATTAAAGCATAGTCGTATCATACTTGTCCATTACTTATTAACTGTTCACAAGGCTGTAAGACAAATCTTACATTGGATGTCGTACTTTAAAGAGTTTAAGTGACTTTGTTACCCCAGCTTATAGCAACTACATTTCTTACATTAAAAAAAAAACCAACATATTTACCGTCTTTGTGTTCTATCCCCTTCTAGATCATATTGCAGCCGATTAGACATCTCTTTCATTTTTTTCAGTAATTATTAGCAACAAAACCCAAAACAAAAGAAAAACAACAAAATCACATTTGCTTACTGTTCCATACTAGTATTCACTAAATTTCTTCGTACACTCATGATTTTGTTTCATTTAATGAATTTGAATGACATGCCAGATAACGTATCAGAGATGTATTTGACTACTCCACACCACACAGAAGATGATAGGAGATGGGGAATTTTGACACTACTAATGTCCTGCAGTTAGCAGCAAAACTACTTGCAAATTTTAGTTGTAGTGTCTTCCTAGGCAATTATTTAGAGGGACTCAGAAACATCAAAGTTGTTAGCTTTCCAAAACTGAGAAGAACTTTCAAACAAGCAAACTTAGCAAGAAATTTTCTCTCCCACTCTGAATTCTTCAACACCCTCTAAAGTCCACCTCATAGAGTATGCCTTAAGTTCCAAAACATCTTTCCTTTTCATGACTGTTTCCAAAGGGCATACTCCATTACAGATATTCTTAGCAGAGCCCTACTGAATACACTTGCAGACATCCAAACCATAGAACTGAATGACCTAAAAAAGGTTAAAAAAGATACACATACTTACATACATTTTATTTTTAATAACAAGGACATAAACTACACTTTTTTTCATCATGTTTCTTACATTTTACTAGGAAGAAAGTAAGTAATAAGGCAATGAAGTTATGTAATATTGTTTCAACTTCTAAAAATTCAAATACAGGGAATTAATCACGTTCATCTTAAACAACTGTAAGACTAGGGACCATACTGGTACTTTACCTTTCAACTTTAGGGTCATTTCTTGGAGACGATTTTCAAGATCTAATTTTTGATTTTCAAGTTCAGAAACTTGCTGTTTAAGATCTGGGATCACCTTTTAAAGAAAAAGGAGATTTGTGTATTTCAGCACCTTTCTTCTTTGTAACTGTCTGTAATAGCTCCTATGACACTGGAAGACCTTCAGCTGCAAATAGTCAAAGACTGGGGAGTCAATGTTAGGGAGTACTACTACCTGCTTGCCTGACTTGTTTAACTTTTCTGGAGGCATCTGCTGCTGGCCACTCTTAAAAATGCAATAGTGAGCTAAACTAAATGTTTGTACTGGCCCAGTACTACCATTCTTCTCTTCTAGTTCACAGGAAATTACACCCGACCTTTAATTTCCCTAGCTCAATTAGCATTGGAGAAACCTCAATGTGTTATAATTTTTTTTTTTAAATAACATAAGAAACTTTTCCTCATATTTTCAATTTTAGTAACTTTGCTTTGAAAATATTTTGTTAGTTATTTTTCACTCAGCAGAAAAGTAACATGGTATACACTATCTTCTGGAATAATAGCACTTCCTTGTATTAGATAGGTTTTACGCAGTACTAATAATTAGACTCTTAAGCCTTGCCCGCAACTTGATATGCTTAGCTGCCCTCTGGTGGGGAGAGCCTCAGAACTGCATCAATCTGTAACCGCCACAATATCCCACGGGCGTCTGGTTTTTCACTATCAAATCACAGAACTTGTCAACCTGAGAGACAGACATTGCTTTAAAGAGGCTTCTGAGAAAAAGATGCTAATTTCTGTCCTCTGGCTACAGAGGAAGAATGAAGTAACTGAATTCTAAACTTGAATGCCTCAGCACAATGAAAATTGAAGCTGGTTGCTGTGGGGTGACCCTGTCTGGGCAGCCACCAAGCACCCACAGAGATGCCCACTTCCCCCCTAACCCCATCCCACGCTCCAGCAGAACAGGGAAGAGAATAGGGAGAGCAGAATTGAGAAAACACCTGGGTCAAGATAAAGCCGAACACCTCCTTTCTTCTCCCTCTACCTCAGTTTTCATAGCTGAGCATGACATTATACGGTAGGGGATATCCTTCTGGTCAGCTCAAGTCAGGCTGTGTGCCCTCCCAACATCATGCCCACCCCCAGCTTAACTTGCTGAGGTGGGGCAGAGCAGGAAAAAGAGAAACCCTTGACACTGTGCAAGCGCTGTTCAGCAACAGCCAAAACACTGCTGTGTTATCAATACCGTTTTACCCACAAATCCAAAATGCAGCATCATATGGACTGCTACAAAGAAAGCTAACTCCAGCCCAGACAGACCCAGTACACTGTTGTAATACTGACCCATAGAAAGTTACAGTATCACAAAACTGCTTTTCATTAAGTCTGAAGTACCAAAAGTGTTCCATCAGAAAAATATAAGGCCTGACAAAAAAATAGCTATTTTTTTTAATTATCAGACAAGGAATTTAAATTAGGTAGGTATTAAAAAAGGCATGGCGAGCTAACTTTCTGCTCACTGCTAAACCTCTGATTCATTTCTTAGTTAAAATTCTGCATAAATAAAAAACCTAAATAACTACTTGTTTCTTCATGACTTCCAGTATAAAGCTGCTTATCTGTAGAAATTATTACACCCCTCAAAAGTTCCTCGCATTGTTGAAAAACTGCAAAAAGCACAACCAAAATATTTGTGTGAGCTCAGTAATGGATATCCTGGCAACATTTTAAAGTTCAAAACATTGTTTATAAAATCTGAATATTCATGCACGTAAGTGTACAAGGGTTCAAACGCATTCTAAAGACCCTCAGAGTCTCCCTAGATACCAACAGAAGAAGCCAAAGCCTGTGTGTGCACTACGCACCAAGTCAGAGTTTGTAAAATGGTATTTTGCCATTCTGCGATTAGAAACAAATCTCAATTCAGATTTAGGCAAAAGAAAAGGGAAAAAGCCTCTGTGAGGCTGCACCAACAAGCTGTACACTCTGACAATAAATCTGGCTGCCTCCTAACACACTACCCCAGCATGCAGGTAAAGAGCCGGTATGGATGTGCAATCTTAGATGGCCCTATCTGTTTGAGCCTTGAGATTTCAAGGACATGACCACAAGATTTTGAAGACTTTGTGCCACAAACCCATTTGGATTGTATTACTAAATAACAAAAACACACTTTTCTTTACTACACCTTAATCTTACCAGGTTTTCTGAAGTTAGCCTGCTAACTTCAAGTCGAATACCATCATTTATGTCATTTTCCTCTCTAAATAATTTTTGTAGATGATTAATATCTTGGCTAAGATGTTCAACTTTGAAGTTCAAACCTTCAATCTCCTTTTCATATATTTCTTTCTGAGACTGGAAATGACCTTCCAATACTCTGTCAAAAAAAGGGAGAAAGAACATGGCAGATGTAGTATGACCTTGATGCCATGGGTCAAATTTACTATAAAGTGAAAACAAAGTACTGTGGTTAACACACAGACGTTCCATTACATCACCCATGCATTAAGGGAGTTGGAAGTTATGCACGGTATCTCAGAGGAAACACATTTCCCCGACTGACACATACACACTTATCTCACTGACTTAGTAAAAATTTCTTAAAGTGATTTTAAGCTGCTCAGTCAGTCATATAAGGTAGTGTTTATTCATTCTTAAACAGGCATTCAGTATTGCACTGTCAAATTAGTTACTCACTGATCCTTCTGTTTACTTTCTAGATCACAGCTTGGAGTTATAAAAACGGTGAAGAACTAACCTTGTAGCTTTTTTCAAGCCCTCGTAAGCAAACCACAGTTCTCCATCCTCATTTAAGTGTTCCAAATCCTCCATAGAGAGTCTAGAATACAAGGAAGTATCATTAGTGTGCAGGTGAACAAAATGCATTTCTTAAGCTTTTTTTGAAGAGACCTCAGAACGAAATTACCTGCTTCTTACATCTTCAAAATCGTAACTTTCAAGAAGCTGTTTTGTAACTTCTGACATCTTTTCTGGAAAAAAGAAAGTTTATTACATGAATAAATTTCTCTGCATGTTTCGAATTATGTTTGATTACATGGTCTAGGGACATGGTGGCGCTGGATTAACGGTTGGACTTGATGATCTTGAAGGTCCTTTCCAACCTAGTGTTTCTGTGATTCTGTGATAAAAATCCAACCAATCTCTTCCTAAATCTACAAGGTTCTTTCTTTTCTGGTACTCAGTAAATATATCTGATTTACTACAAGAATATGATGAGGGACTTGGTTCTACTTCTGGATATTGAAAGTACACTAGATAGGTATACACCAATATTGTGTTTTTTTCTAAACATATCAAACTTTGCATTGGAAGTTACATCCTTTTGTTCTGAATCGGCACAACTGCTAGTTGTACAGATAATTTGTCATCTAATGCTAGGTTACTATATTAAATGCTGCAGATACCGGTTTGCTCTATGACATTGTTAGCATTGAACAAAGTGCATTAACAGTATTAAGTACCTTTTCCCAAGAGAACCCAAGTTAACAAGTCATTTAAGTGTGTTTGACATTTATTGGACCAAATGCTAAAATGAATGAAAGCTATATAATGTATTGTTTCCATATCCTTGGGTCTCTACAAGCTACTTGTTAAATACTAAGTGAAGTTTAAGTTATTAGTATTGATTTTTAAACACACAGGAAAAATGTTTTAAATCAGAGTTTCTTCAAAGGGGTACCCCAGATCTCAGTATTCTGTGATCACTTTATAAAACTCACCTGTTGGGTTTTTTTTTTTTTCCCCTTGCAAGTAAAGGTATGAATAAAATTAAATCACTGTGAGATGGGAAAAAGAACTGGGTTTTGTCAAAGCTAACATAGAATAAATCAATTTGAACTGGCCTGGTTCTCATTGTACTTGGCAAATTCTCTGAATTATCTAGTATGTAGCTTACCCCTCAATTCTCTCTTTTGTGACTGGGCCTGCTTTTCAACATCCAATTTCTGTGTCTGCAGCAGTTCAAGTTCCTTTTGCAACTCAGGTATTTTCTAAATCAGACAAAAATTACAGACTGAGACAAGGAGTGAATGACAAGCACTGCGTATCGGTTAAATCATAAAGATAATTATAATTAAGAACAAGTTTATATGGTAAAAGGCTTAAAATGTGTTTAAAGGATCTGTTTCTGAGGCATCAGAACAGAATGGTAATTCGATGTAGTGGAAACATATGTGTTTATGTCATGGAATTCAGAGAAAAAAATGTGACTTTACACGAAAGTACTATTTTCAGGTTCAGTTTATAAACTACATTTATGAAAAATCCCGAGAAACTAATACTTTCTTGGATAAAGGAAGAAAAAAGACCCACACATTTAAATATATAGCTATTCAGGCACAATTATTCTTCAAAACATGCACTTATTTCTGCAAGCAATAACTTGAAAACAATGCAACAACATGGTGTATCAAACACAGCTTATTAACTCAACTTCTAAAAATGCACTGGATAAAAAAAAATTAGTGAAGATAATCTATAAATAAAACACCCACATTCTCTACTTGCTTTATCTAGCAAAATGAAATATGTCATACTTTACCTGTGCTTGTTTTGTAAGTTGTCCTACTTCCATTTTCAAGCCATCCTGAATGACAATTTCTTGCTGAATTTGATGTTGCAGCTGAGTTTTTTCTTCTTTCAGAATCTTAATTTCTCCCTTGAGCAATTCAATCTGCTTTTCATAGTCCTGCTTCTGATTTTGGAAATTTTTCTCAAGTATCCTAAGCAAGACAATGAAAAAGTGGTTTTATTCTCCTATATACATAAGTGAAAGGGTGGGCTTTAGTTTTGTTTTAATTTGAAGGACATGTTACATTGAAAAAAAACTTGAATGAACCATAATTACTTGAAAATGCCATCCTACATCCTCAGAATCAATCGACAAAATGGATGATAATGGTATGAGAATGTC